AAACCTGGAGATACTCCACTTACAGGCGTGGCTCCTGAATGATTCCACCATGACAACGTAACCTATTCAGAACAAATTAAACACATGTTATTAAATAGCAGGAAACTGACTACGAGAAATACCTACCTTCAAAAATGGAAGAGGTTCTCCGCCTTGTCTCAAGGAAGTCACTTGATGAGCGATTCAGCACCACTACCATTAATCTTAGAATAACTGTTGGAGCCGAAAAGCACTGGCTTAATGATGAGCTCAATCAGAGTCCATCTTGCAGCCATTTCAGCATTCCATTGAGAGATCGATGGAACTTTGATGTTCGCACACCCAACTACAAAACGCTTCCAACATGGGACCTCAACCTGGTACTGAAATGCCTCACTAGACCACCATTCGAACCATTAGCCACCTGGTCATTACTCCACTTATCGATGAAAGTAGCCTTCCTGGTCGCCATTACCTCAGCGAGAAGGGTGAGCGAGATGGGGTGCTAATGGCAGATCCTCCATACACAACATTCTTCAAGAACAAGGTAATGCTACGTCCACATCCTAAATTCTTACCAAAAGTAACCTCAGCATTTCACATGAACCAATCTATTCACCTACCAACATTGTACCCTAAGCCTCATGGTGCTCCAACAGAAGCTGCCCTACACACTCTAGACATTAGAAGGGTGCTACCTTTCTACCTTGAAAGAACCAAACCTTTCAGGAAATCCCCTAGAATTTTCATCTTTACTACCGAGCGCTCGAAAGGATGTGCTATATCCACTCAGAGATTATCTAAATGGATTTTCACATCCATTCAAACGTGTTACCATATCCGGAATACAGAACCACTGGAGCACATTAGAGCACATTCTACTAGGTCCATTTCAACTTTGGTAGCATTCCCCAATAACGTTCCAATACTAGAGATCTGTAAGGCGGCCACTTGAGCCTCCATCCACACATTCACAAAGCACTATGCAGTCACACAGGACTCCAGGGCTGATGCCATAGGGGGCCTCACAGTACTTACCTCAATGACTCGAACAAACCCGAAGTCCCCCGTGCCCTCAGAGGGGCACTGCTCTACAGTCATCTAAAGTGGAGCACCCACAGGGACACTACTCAAAGAAGAAGGGAAGGTTATTCACCTTGTGCAGTAACTGGAGTTCTTCGAGAAGTGTGCCCCTGTGGGTGCTCCACTACCCGCCCTTCTCCCCTCTACTTCGGAGTTCACAGTGAGGACTCTGTGGTAGAGAAGGAACGCACTACACGCGGCACCAATGGTACCATGAGACGTCTACTGCGCATGCGCAACCCGTGCGGATGCTGCTACCATAAATCTCCAATAGATGGTGTTGGACGCACCGCCACCTAAAGTGGAGCACCCACAGGGACATACATCTCGAAGAACTCCAGTTACTGCACAAGGTGAGTAAGCTTTCCTTCCTTCTCAGCAGTGCTGCTGCCAAGCCAGTTTTCCCCCATTCTGTATCTGTGCATTTGGTTTTACTTCCTTACGTGTAGCACATTAAATTTGTCTTTGTTGAATTTCATTTTGTTGTCTATAGCCCAGTTCTCTCATTTATCAAGATGGCTCTGAATTTTAGCTTTATCCTCCGAAGTATTGGCACTCTCCACCCTGCTTTGTGTCATCTGCAAACTTGATCAGTATGCTTTGTATACCTACATCCAGGTAATTAATAAAGATGTTAAACAACACCAGACCCAGAACGGATCCTTGTGGAACCCCACTTGAGACCTCCCTCCAATCTGAGATAATTTATTTAATAGTTACTCTTTGCAGTTGTGTAACCAACTATGTATTCACTTAATGGTAGTTTTGCTGAGCCCACATTTCTCCAGCTTACTTACCAGAATGTCACGGGGGATTGTGTCAAAAGCCTTGCTGAATTCCAGGTGTATTATGACCACCGCATTCCCTCTATCCACCAAGTCAGTTACCTTGTCAAAGAAGGAAATCAAGCTGGTTTGACATGATTTGTTCTTGGTAAATCCATACTGGCTGCTAGTGATTACCGCATCATCCTCCAGGTATTCACAAATTGAAGGTTTTATACATAGCTCTAGTAGCTTCCGAGGTATCAAAGTCAGGCTGGCTGGTCTATAGTTTCCCGGTTCTTCCTTCTTCCCCTTTTTTAAATATGGGCACTATGTTAGCCCTTCTCCAGTCTTCCGGGACCTCTCCTGTCATCCATGTGTAAGAGTCCGGTGCGGGGGTCGTGCCCTCTCAGGGGCCGTCGGGAGCCAGGCCGCCTCACTACACGGCCTGGGTCGGTCTCGGGGTTCGAGGGTCTCGGGGTTTCGCCCCTCTGGCAGGGGCTAAGCCAAAGGTATACGGCCTCTGCAATGGGCTACCGCCCTCCGTCAGGGCTAGGCAGCAACCCTGGTCCGGGCTCCGGTTCTCCCTGCCGGAGCTGGGAAGCACAAAGTCAGTCAAGCCCACGCGCTAGCTCAGGGCGGGCAACGCACAAGGGTCCAAGGGGGGCTCAGGGCCTTCCTGAAGGCTGAGCCCTAACAGAGTCACTAGGCCCAGGCCCTTAGTCAGGGCGGGGCAACAAACAATAATTCGGGGGGGGGCTCAGGTCCGTGGATCGGGAGCTGAGCACTGACAAACTCAGGACGCCCCAAGCCCTGAGTCAGGGCGGGGTAGCACAAAATAGTCCAGGGGGGCTCAGAACCTTCCTTCAGGCTGAGCAGTGAAACTCAGGGGTTAAGGCCCGGCCCTCAATCAGGGCGGGGCAGCACACAATAGTCCAGGGGGGCTCAGAACCTTCCTTCAGGCTGAGCAATAAAAGTCAGGAGTTAATGCCCAGCCCTCAATCAGGGCGGGGCAGCACACAATAGTCCAGGGGGCTCAGAACCTTCCTGCAGGCTGAGCAGTACAAGGTCAGGAGTTAATGCCCAGCCCTCAATCAGGGCGGGGCAGCACACAATAGTCCAGGGGGGCTCAGAACCTTCCTGCAGGCTGAGCAGTAACAAAGTTAGTAAGCCCAGGCCCTTAGTCAGGGCGGGGCAACAAACAAAAAGTTCAGGGGGGTTCAGATCCGGGTCGCAGGAGCTGAGGACTAACAAAGTTAGTAAGCCCAGGCCCTCAGTCAGGGCGGGGCAACAAACAATAGCTCAGGTATGAGGCTGGAGCGCTGGCTGGAGAGGGAGGCTGCCCCCCGTAAGTGGGGTAGCAGGGGGAACACAGGCCCACCCACTCCACTGTGTCCCAGCCCGGGGCCCTAAGAGCGGCAGTCAGTCTGCCGCTGTGTCGGTGGGGTCCTGACCGCAACACACCGACATTGGCTCCTCTGTTGTAGCCAGACTGGGGTCAGCTACCCCCAGGCTACTTTCCATCTCCCCCTCCACTGGTACCTGCTCATCGCTGGGCTCGGCAGCGGGGTCCCACACCATGGGTTCCTCAGCTCGCAGAGGGTCGTCTGGGTCGGGCCGCTCCTCCGGTCTCGGGTCCGGGGGGCACTTGGGCCCCTCCTCGGGGTATCGTGCTCGGGGCAGGCTCGGCCAATCCCCTTCGGGGTACCTTGCTCGGGGAAGGCTCGGCCAATCCGCATCGGGGTACCTGGCTCTGGGGAGGTCCAGTCGGCCGGCGTCCGGGTATCTGGCTCTGGGGAGGCTTGGTCCGTCCACGTCCGGGTACCTGGCTCTGGGAAGGCTCAGTCTTGCCAGAGCTCGCACCGGCACGTCTGGCCTCTCCGGCCGCTGGGCTCCAACTGAGAGCTGGGGCCTGGCTTTTATACTTCCTGCCCCGCCCCTTAACTTCCGGGGGGCGGGAACAGGTGGCGGTGGCTCCGCCCACTTGGGTGCCAGTTCAGGTTCCTCCCTCTCAGGGGCCGTCGGGAGCCAGGCCGCCTCACTACACGATGACTTTGTAACTATATTGCCAATGGCTCTGAGATTTCTTCATCTAATTCCTTCATTGCCCTTGGGTGAATAGCAACCAGCCCCACTGATTAGAATTCATTCAATTTGGTCAGAAGATCTCTGATGTGTTCTTTACTTATCCCATTCTGTATCCCTTCCCCTATATTGACTACGGTGACTTCGCTAGTCATCCGTTCACATGTTATTTTTTGAGAGAAGACAAGCAAAGTAGGCGTTGAGCTGCCTTGCCTTCCTATCATACTAGTCATCATTAGTATAAATTCTTGTCAAACAGTTAGTGTAATTTAACATTTGATTGATAGGATTTATGTACAGCAACTTGACTGCAATAATTTCCTCTAAAAGAGGCTGCCAGCAAAGCAACTCTGTTGCATGCAACTAATATAGGATATGGCAGCAAGTGGCTCATTGAAGTGAGCATTTAGGCATGTATTGCACTGACATTGCATTGTTTACATCAGCTGCCTATCGAGTAATCAGTGGGCTAGAATATATTTGCAGTGGTGGAGTGAAGATATATTATATTATATTATATTTATTTATTTAGAGAGGAGTGTTATCTTGTGGAGTTTTAAAATTGTCTTTGTGCCCTGAGGGCTTCAACAAAAGTAAACCTGATAAACAGAGTGATTATTTTATAAATCTGCATAGTGCACTACAAAATAAGTAAGATCACACATCACTGCCACAAAGAGTTTCTAGTTTAACACAGACAAAAGCAAACCACAGGACAAAAATTCAGTCACTGGAAGAAGCGGGGACAGTAATGGATTGATTAGATTAATGCAAAAAGTGGACTTTCGGGAGAGGTTTGAAGGTAAGGGAGGTGAGGAAGGGTACTTAGCTGATTTGAAAGGAGGCCGATCCAACTATAGTGGATAGCATAAAAAAGGGCAGAAAACCAACCATCGGAAAAGGTAATGAATAAAGAGAGAGGAGTAGGTGTGAAGGAAAAGAATGAAGTAAAGAAGGGTGTATGTGGCTGGAATGCAGGGCCGTGAAAGTGAGGATGAGGAGCTTGGGATGATATTTCTGTATTATAGTTTCAGTGTATCTTTACAATTATTTTTTAATTAATGTATTTATGTATTTATTTTGAAACAGGACTATCTTGAGATTAAACGAATGATTTTCCCAAGGTTTTACTTTCTCAGCAATGCTGAACTTCTTGACATTTTAGCTGAAAGCAAAAATCCTGAGGCTGTGCAGGTAACATTTCAGTACTGCATGCTAGGAATATTCTTCTTGTTACACGTAATGACAGATTGTCCATATTTTATTCTGTTATTTTCTTTTATGTCTGTACCACAGCCTCATCTTGTGAAATGTTTTGCGAATATCAGGAAGTTATATATACGCAGACATGACCAGAACTCTCCGGTGGTGGTGATGATCAGTTCTGCTGAAGAAGAGACTCTCTTCGTGCCAAAGTATGGTATACATACATTGCGTGATAATTAATACAATGGAAATTTAAGAAATGTCTGCTGATTTTCCAACAGCTCTTTACAATAAAGTACTGTAACTTTGTATGGATTCTTTGGAGTACAGATAGTGTTGGTGTGAGGTCTCTGAAACTTGTGACCAGCAGCTTCAAAGCTTCCTTATGCCTCATCATAAACATGCAGATACCATCTAATGATGGATCAGTTTTGAATATTTTGAATGGCTTTAAATCTTGTGATGTAGAGCTCTTCTCGCACTATATTATAAAACCTTAAGGACCCATTTCAGCCCTGGAGTCAGCACATACAATTTCCACTGATTGCAGTGGGAACTACACCTACTTGAGTGCGGAGACTACTATAAATACTAACTCGAGAGAATATGCTGTCTCAGCATTTCTGTTTGTAACATACACAGTGCCTTATAAATCTAGAAGCTGGTCAGATTTGTCACATAATAGCTGGTAAACATTTTGCATTAGAACAAATGCATTCTGCAGCCCAGTGTTTCTCACACTTCTAAGACATGGGATGTTCTTCTTCAAGTGATTGCACACGTCCATTCCACTGTAGGTGTTTGTGAGCTCCAGTGCACAGTTGTCAAAGAGGTTTTTTTCTCTTAGCGATAGCTGTTGAGACAGCATGCACACCAGCAAGCGCACAGGCATAAAGAACCAAGCCACCTGACCTCCCTCAGTTCCTTTTTACCGCTTGTAACAGTTTTTGGAGCTCCCTTTTCCTTGCATCTGCAAGTCTTTAGTCAAATCATGTAAATAGTGCTCCTTGTAGTTCTGTGTAGTTAGTGTACTTAATACAAATCGTTGTTGTTTGTGTGGATCCAGCACCCAGTCTGGGTACTGGCTCTGATACCGGAGATATGCCATGTGCCCTGGGTTTCAAGCCCTGCCACTCTTGAGGTAAGGCAGTACCTAACAGTGACCCTCACCCCAGCTGCCTTAAGTGCTTAGGGGAGGCTCACGTGAATAACAAATGTAGTATTTGTAAGGGATTAAAGCACACTCCAAAAAAGACAGGGCAGACAGATTGAAAAATCTGCTGCTGAAATCAGTGCTATGTCCTCCATCTGAACTATCTACCTTGGTTTGGGTACAGAGCACCTCTGCTTTAGTCAGTAGTGCATATTCTGCACTACTGGTACCAACAGGCAGATTGTTGTTGCTAATAACAAAGAAGAGGCACTGTAAATTGTACTTGGTACAAGGATCATTGAAAGAAGCGAAGAGGTCAAAATCAACTGAAGACTCGAGGGTGCTCAAAGCATGCACTCCACAGAGCACACCTCTACGCAGGGTTGTTTGTTGACACCAGGGCCCAGTACAGGGCTGTTCTGACCAGCTCCCGAAGCAGTCATTGGGATCACCTCATGCCCCAGTACTGTCTACTTCTGAGGCATTTGAGGCTATGAGAGAGTTTTTGAACCTCCTCAGTGCCACCATCACTAGCAGTTCAGGAGTCTCACCTGGCACTGGTGCCGTAGCTACCAGCGTAAGTGGTTTCACCGCCATACTGGGCAGGTCCAGCTGAATTAGCCATCAGGGTTCTGATTAAGACAATGCTGCCTAAGGGAAAGGCACAGATCTCCCTGGCTCCCCTTTCTTTGGAGTCTGAATCTTCCTCACTGCTACTGTTCAGTTGAGCCCCACCATGGTAGCAAAAAGAGGCTTCTTCTTCATCAGACTCTGAAGTGGAATCCTATGTGTCCCAGTCTAGCTAGTCCCACCATCAAGAATATGCTACCTGCCCACCCTGGTTTCATCCTCAGTATCAACCCAAGGGACTTACTGAAAGGATCCTGGGGCTATTTTAGAACTCGTGGGGGTTTTCCCCCTAATCAAGAGCTTCCCCACATCTACCTCAGCTGGCTCCATCTAGTGGCTGTCAAGAGCATTGATGCTGCAAACACCCTAGTTTTGGCACCGAGCCTGGCACCAAGTGGACACAGGACCCCTCTCGTTAACATCCACAAGAAGAGTGGGAAGTGGACAAGCCTCCAATACTGCTGGCATCCTCTTTCTCTGAGGTAATTGTGGCAGAACCTATTTCTCTGCCTCCTGATGATTTTAAGACACATCAAGAGTTGTTGAGGAGGATGGCTGTGGTCTTGGACATCTACCGTCAAGGAGTCCAGGAAAAATCGCACAAGTTGGTGGACTTCTTGGTATCTCCAGCCCAAGCTAGAATAGCTCTTCCTATTAATGATGCTATTTTAGGGCCTACCGAGGTTCTTTGGCAGGCCCCAGCTTCCCTGCCACTGACTGTAAAAAAGACTGGAGCGGAGGTACTATGTCCCCTCTCAGGGGTTCAAGCACCTCTGTGATCATGTCCCTCTGAGCTCACTCATAGTGTTAGCAGCCAATGAAAGAGAGACATGGTCACGGGACATCAACCCCCTAAAAATAAGATGGCCAAGAAGCAGGACTTATTTGGGAGGAAGCTTTATTCCAAATGTGGGTTATAGCTTCCTATTGCAAACTAGCAAACTTTACTGGGGTGCTACGATTTCACCCTGTGGGATATAGATTCAAAGTTCAAAGACAAGCTCCCAGATGATATGAAACAAGAGTTCCAGATATTAATTGAGGAGGGTAAGTTGGTTGCCAGAATGGCTCTGCATGTGGGTCTAGGTGCAGCAAATTTTACAGTTTGGGGCATGGCCTCTGCCATCACAATGAAATGCTTGTCTTGGTTACAGTCTTCTGGTTGCCTTTCAGGGGTTCAACAAACAGTCTGGTTCATCAAGGCAGGCAGCATCCTCCACAAGCTAATTTTGATGGACGGGTTGAGAGCAATGTACCAGTTCTAAGAATGCCATCTTTTTCTTCCCAATTTTTGCAAACTGTATGTTCCACCTCCATTGTGATTGGGGTGACATCACAACAGATAGGTGAGTTCTAAGCATGGTGGAAGTGGGATATACACTCCAATTTATTTCTGCTCCTTCCCACCTACCCTTCCTGTCCTCCTTCAGGGACGTCCCTCATGAGGCAGTGTTACTGCAAGAAATACAATTGCTTTTCCTTGTAGGAGCGATAGAAGAGATCTATCCTGATACTGAAGGCAAAAGGGAACATCCGGCCTATTTTAGATGTAAGGGAGTTAAACAAGTGCCTAAAAAAGACAGAAATTGTGGATCATCACTCTAGCTTCCGTTATTTCTTCCCAGGAGCCAGGGGACTGGTGTGGTGCTCTTGGCTTAAAGGATATTTGCTTTCATATGGCAGTTCATCAAAGGCATAGAAAATTTCTGAGATTCACTGTCAGGTGATGCCCTTATCAGTTAACAGTGCTCCCCTTTGGTCTGTCGGCTGCCCTGCATGTATTTACAAAGTGTATGGTCACAGTAGCAGCATTCCTCCAGAGGTCAGGGGTCCACATTTTCCCTTACCTGGATGGATGGATGGTAAGAGGTCAATCCAGGTTGCAGGTGTTGTCCAGCATAAGCAAAATCCAATCCATCTTCGATGCACTTGGCTTAGTGATCAACACAAACAGATCATCCCCATCTCTGGTACAGAAGATAGAATTTATTGGCGCAGTCCTCGACTTGACAAAGGTCATGGCCTTACTGCTGCAGGCAACGTTTTATGCAATGCAAAATCTCATTCTAGACTTAAAGGATTATCCCATCACCAGGTGAGAAACTATGTTAGGCTACTGGGACACATGGCAGCATACACTTACATAGTCCAATATGACAGGTTGCATTTCATGCTCTTTCAAGACTGGTTGGCTGAGGTATATTCACACCAAATTAGATGTTATTCTCCTTTAATTGGTGAAAATACCCAACCAATATCTGCAAGGGTGTTCCCTTCTTCCCTCCCTAACAATGTCTTTCCTTAGTCATGGATGCCTCAAACCTGGGGTGGGATCAGTTGGTACCCCCACAGATGCAAAGTTTCTGATCTACTCAAGATGTCTGTCTCCAGGTAAACAACATGCGAGCAATCCAGTTAGCTTGTTCACATCAGGGGAAGGGGTATATTGGTGCTGACCAACAATATGGCAGCCATGTTTTATGTAAACAAATGGAGAGGACAGTCCTCACTACTTTATCGGGAAGCAATCCTGCTCTGGGACGTCTGCATTGCCAACACTGGTTCTGAAAGTAGCCCAAATGCTCAGAATATGCTGAGCAGGTTATTTCTCAGTCACCATAAGCGGTCCATTTGCCCAGACATAGCAAGGTCTATTTTCTAGCACTGAGGAGCACCCCGACTGGATCTATTTGTAACAAAAGACCACAGGAAATGTCACTTTTGCTCCCAAGTGGGCCACAGTCGAGGTTCGTTAACGGATGCTTTTCTACTGCTGTGATCAGAGGGTCTGCTGTATACGTTCCTCTAACCTCTTCTGCCCATAATTCTATGAAAGGTCAAGCAGGGTAAGGCCTGTCTTATACTGATTGGTTCTGCATGGCCCCATCAGCACTGGTTTTCAAACCAGTTAGTCCAGTGGTAGGCAACCCGCTGCCGCACGCGGCCCATCAGGGTAATCCGCTGGTGGCCGCCAAACAGTTTGTTCACATTTGCATGGCCGCCCACTACTCCCAGTGGCCGCAGTTCGCCGTTCCCGGCCAATGGGAGCTGCAGGAAGCAGCAGCCAGTATGTCCCTGCAGTCCGCGCCGTTCCTGCAGCTCCCATTGGCCAGGAACAGCGAACTGCGGCCACTGGGAGCTGCGGGGGGCCATGCAAATGTAAACAAACTGTCTGGTGGCCCGCCAGCAGATTATCCTGATGGGCTATGTGCGGCCCACGGGTCGCAGGTTGCCCAACACTGAGTTAGACCTATCAATCAGTCTGCCACTGTCAGTCTCACTACATACAGACTTGATTTTTTTCAGAGTCATTGTTGCCTCCTCCACTCCAGTCTACAGGCTCTTTGCCTGAGAAGCCTGAAGGCTTTGTGGTTAATATCAGTGGAGGAGTTCTGTTTTAGAGAAGTTCAGGACGTGCTGCTAAAT